TTTTTGCTTCACTTTATTTTAAGGTGACGTAGTTACTAATAAATAAATTAGAATAAATTAATTCGAAATGCTCTTTTAGCAGATTCAGTTGCATTTTAAGAAATATAAACATGCTGGGAAATCACATAAACCTCTGTTTATAATTTTATCAACTTTTAATGCAAACAAAACACGAGACATGATACACACAAGTGTCGTGAAATCATATCTTACAAAGGAAGGCTAAAAATGCTTTGGCAAAAGAAAGCTTACAGCTCCGTGTCCATCTATGAACAAGATTTTAGGAGAAAAAAAAAAACACATAGAAATATCACAGTAATCACTAAACAGACTTAAGTAAAGCTAATCAACAGATACAGATCTACATTTTATTCAATCTGATATGAAAATAATTATTCACAGTGGGTGACTTATGAGAACTACGCTGGTTGTGTTTCGACCAACCATCCAAATAAACAAAATAAAAGTTCAGCATGGAATAATTAAAGGGTTAGTTCACCCAAAAATGAAAATTGTCATTAATGACTCGCCCTAATGTCATCCCAAGCCCGTCAGACCTCTGTTCATCTTCAGAACACAGTTTAAGTTATTTTAGATTTAGTCCGAGAGCTTTCTGTCCCTCCATTGAAAATGTGTGTACGGTATACTGTCCTTGTCCAGAAAGGGAATAAAGACATCCTCAAAGTTGTCCATGTGACATCAGTGGGTTAGTTACAATGTTTTGAAGCATCGAAAATACATTTTGGTCCAAAATAACAAAAACTATGATACTATTTATTCAGCATATGGACTATTTATTCAGCATTGTATTGTTTTCCGGTTCTGTTATGGATCCTCGTTCAGTGACGCTGCTGACGTAAGACGCGGCTGTCTTGTTACGTGTTCTGAAGATGAACGGAGGTCTTACTCTTACGGGCTTGGAAACGACATGAGGGTGAGTCCAGTGGCGGCTGGTGAAAAATATTGGAGGGGGGGCTGAATAAGAGGGGGGTCTGAACTTAAAAACATCAAAAACAAAGCAAACACACAGGTATTAATATTCCTATAACTATTTTAATATCAAATGTGTGTGAAACAGTGTTTATGTGTGTGTGTGTGTGTGAGTAAGTGAGTGACAGAGACAGACAGGTCAATTCCCACGACTTACTTTACATTATTTCCACTCGACGTCACTGACGCTGCCATTCTGCTCTCATCTGAGGTAAAAAAAAAAAAAATGTCCCGTGGTGCGCGTGCACGGTGCACTCCCCTAGTCTGATACTGTGGGCGATATTTTCAGCGCCCCCAAACCATAAAATTTGACGACGCTGATTGGCGAAATATAAACTTTTTTGCATAGCAACCGGGGAACTATTGGCTTAAATTCCAGCACTGTGGGGCTGAGCGAACTGGCGCCCTGAGAAGACAGCCTATTGGCTATACTACTACACCAACATGATAAAAGTAACGAAAGTGAATGCAAATATCATTCTGGTGAGTTCAAAACACTTTTCAAAGTAAAACCATTATTAGCATATAATTAACATTGATTATTTTTCAAAATTATAAATTATAATATATATTAAAAAAAAACAGACAGACAGGTCGGAGGGAGGGCGGCGCCCCAGCGCCCTCTATGGGCGAGCCGCCCCTGGGTGAGTCATTAATGACATCATTTTAATTTTTGGGTGAACTTACCCTAAGACAAGTGAAGTCAACATGGGGGAGAGGTTTTTCTTTTGGCAGTGGCATAAAAGAGAACCATAAAAATAAGACAAATGCGCAGATGTTTTCTGAAGTCGTACTTTTTGCGAGGAACAGACCTAAATTTAAGCCATCTTTTTTTGCATGTGGTCACTGAGCTGTCTAATAGAAAAGAGCTTTGTGAAGACTTTAATGTTTCACAGAAGAAAAAAAGTCATACAAATCTGAAGGTCATGAGCGCAAACAGATTTCACATCTTTGGGTGCACTATCTCTTTAAAAAGAACGCCATTTTGCTCTTATCTCTGTCACTGAAGCATTTGTTAGCTTTTTAAAGTTCGCACATAAAAATGTATCCTGTACCATGCGGTTTTCTGTACCTAAAACATGCATCAGGACAGGAGAGACCATCATTCAGAGCGCAGGTCGCATGCTTGCCTGTCTGTGGAGACTTTTCACCAAATAAATCAAACACAAAACCCCACATTCATAGTGCTCAAGTCAACAATCGCATGCATTCACAGTTCACGCGCGAGTCATTCCATCAAACACACACTCGTGCACTTTTAAATTAGCTTTCAGTCCATCGAGAACTTTCCTGATGGTGGTGCTATCTTACCTTCACAAATGGGAAGAAATATGGATAAATAAAAACGTCAGATGAATGGAAAATGCTTGAATGTGTTTGCCATCGATTTCTTAAGAATTATATGCAGAAACAATCGCATCAATGCCACATGTTGAGTGGATTGGTCAAGTGTAGATTTTCAATTTCTAATAATTAGGAGAACATTTCTGATACTTCCTCATTTGCCGTTTTGTGCCTTCACCGACAAATTCATTAAGGTGTTTTTGGAGAATCGTACTGAACAACTATCATTTGGTCTTTTGTGAGGCTTGATCTAAATAGGATTTGAGCCAATTTTGACATAGATTGGACAGAAGGGTTGTGAACAAAGGGGAGCTAAAAATCCATTAAATAGCCTATTTTTAGGTGAAACCTGAGAAATTGTTCACCATATCAAAAATGACTTGTATGTATCAAGTCATTCTGGCAATCATTCATAAGTTTAATGCTATTTGGTGTTCATGCTAATACAGCCAGTCTTTCCTGGTTAGTTAATTTATTGATCCGTTGCATGTTTTGATCAACACGCAAAGTTGTCGAGATGGAAAATCTAGTTTGGTGGAAATTAAACCACTTGGATAAGTTCATAAAATTTTGTTTCAAGGCCATTCAGATTAAATGATGAATGATGTTGGTCTTTCATATTTATCCATTTGGCAGATGCTTTAAATTGCATTAAAGGTATATTTTATAAGTTCCCGGGAATCAAACCCATGATTTTGGCATTAGCGCCATGGTCTACTCTTTGAACTGTAGAAATCCTAATAAACCAGTCACAATTTAAGAAAAAAGAGTGCATTTCAATTAGTGGGCAACCATCCCCTTTTAATTTTAATGGTATTTGGTTAGAATGTGGACTACAATATATGAAGCTTTTGAGACAGTCAATAATTCCTGGTTTATTAAAGCACTCTTATAGTAATTTTATGCCACCCAAACTGGGGTTTGTGAAGAAACTAAGTGGCTTTGTGAATTGATATAAAGCTAAAAATGAAATAAATCCATTAAAAATGTAAAAATAAAAAGAAACAATTACTAAAATAATAAATATTTAGTTTATTTGCATTTTACATGAACATTTACTGATATCAGAGAATTGCGGTCATGCAAATGTGTTGTTACATTATTGAAATTATATTAACCAAAAAAAAAAAAAAGTTTTAGTTCTACATGTAGATTAGTGCAAGAATATTTATTGAATGACTTATTGAAGTTAATGGGTTTCATATCACTTCCTAACTTGTCACATGGCAAAAACAAAACAAATGAGAAATGTTCAACATGGACAAAAACCAACAATGGAAAGACAAAAGAAAAGATGAATGTCAGGGTTATATTTTAATATCAAGTTAAGTTTTCCTCCAAACACCAGCGAAATACAAGAAACTACATGTTCTTAGCTTCATCACTCCAGTCACGATTTGAATTCAAACGAAACACTTTGTAGAGCTGTCAATCACGAGGGCCCCGCCCTCCAGTATCACACTCAAAAATTCAAAACAAGAGATATAACTGAAGAAGAAAACATAATAATGTGCGTAAAACATCTCGTATGGTGATCCCACCCAACGTAGACCAGGCAGGGCTATAGTTTAAGCTACAGATATTCCATTCACAGTTGTCATTTCCGCCCCACGCAGGGGAAAACTAACTTCACCTCCGTCGCTGGTCCTGATGTGGATTCTCTGAACACACGCATGCAATGGGGCTCAGAAAAGGTGCAAACAACACAACTCGAGGCACGGCTGAAGTGACACTAAATTGGCCTCTTGAATTTCCCCTCCCCCTCCGAGAAAGCATGAAAACAAAGTAAAGAAGTGTGGCACAATAACACAGTTAAAAACTCTCACTGGACTATTCAACTATGAGGTTTCAAGGTCTTTTAAACACACTTTGCTTAGTAGAAGTGCTACTAGATCATGTGAGGGTGAGACACCGTTCTAGAAAACGTCCAGTTTATCTTTTTTTGGAGTAGACGTGTGTGATTTTTAGTTTTTAAACGATGGCATTTTTACTGTATTACAATAAAAATTTGTGTAATACATAGTATTTTTTTATTAAAAAAGTTCACTTTGAAATTAATTTTTGGTATGTTTTAGCTTTCCTCAAGGGCATCCAAGATGTAGGTGTCTTTTTTTCCACAGTATTTTCAATTTTGATATTTTTAGGTCAAACCGTTCTTGTCTGTCAGTCATATAATGGAGGTCTATGGTCACCACCTCAAAGAGCATGCACAGAGAAGTCCAAATTAAACATGATTTAATGACTCGTAAATGTAAGTGCACATTGATGGGCTAAGACACGAAACGAGCGGTTATTAATGTGTATCAATGCAACGAGCACAGACAGAAGCGCCCTCGCCCTCAGAGTACTTGGACATGACTGTGATTACAAGAGATAAAAACGATATAAATACTGTTTGTTTTCTCATACAAACCGCTCGTTTCATGTCTTAGACCATCAATGTGTACTTACATTTACGAGTCATTAAATCATGTTTAATCTGGACTTCTCTGTGCATGCTCTTTGAGGTGGTGACCATAGACCTCCATTATATGACTGACAGACAAGAACGGTTTGACTTGACACCTACATAAGCTAAAACATATAAAAAATTAATTTCAAAGTGAACTATCCCTTTAAGGGGAGTGAAACGAACATAAACATAATGTATACTATAAATATTTTACAATTTAAATATTTTTTTCACAATATGGTAATGAGAACATTTGCTTAATTGTCATGCAAATAATACCTCGATATCTTAGGTCTTTATAAATTAGAATATAATCATGGGATGAAATATGACCCAGACGTGTTCACAACAGATTTAATCTGTATATCGGTAAGTGTTGTGAGTATTAACAGCGTATTATACACAATCTCAGAAACACTATGACTAATATCAACAGGGTGTTCACAGTAAAATCAAAGGCCTTGTAAGGTGTTGTTAAGATGAAGTGACCGACAGGACAAATAATCCACTCAAACCAGGCAGAGTCTACGAGAAGTGCGAGGGACTCGTGTTGGGTTTGGCGGTGGAAACCCTTTGGCACTGAGATACACAGTCAGAAACTGCAGCGAGCAGGATATGCATCAAGGCAAAGAAGAGAGTATAAGTTTGCATGTAGCTTTCCTAGTAACTACTGCTGGGTTACACTTTATGTGTCCGTGTTACAGTGAAGTACTGAGTATTAATAATTAACCACATGTACTTACTATAGGGTTAGGATTAGGAATAGGGCTTGGTTGCATGTAATTGTGCATAATTTATAGTTATTACAACAGTAACGAGTAACAATGACATCAAGTGTTACCCTCAGCTGCTAAAAGCAAAGCTTGAGTTTCGTATCCGTCACACTGGATCTTTCTGGAAGTGACTATTCAGAAAAACTCCATCCCAAAACAGAACCGAGAGACTACATTCTACATAAAATAAGTCTTGAAAATAACTGTAACAGTCCAAGATAATGCAGCAAGCGCACATTATGTTAAGAATAACTTCAAACAGTCTCTGTAAAAGTCGCATGATTCCGTCGCATGAAGGGAAGTAATTCAAATGCACAACATTACCTCTCTAGAATGATTTCTCTAGTGTGAAACCTCACTAAATTTCCAATTAGGAGTCAATAAACTTGATATAGAGATGGCACTAAAACTGTGCGTCAGTCCACAATTTCCCAAGATCCCTGGCCACATCTAGGAGCACACAGACTCCATATTAGTTGCATGTGAAACGCGTCATGCAGAAATAAAAGATAATATGCCGTGGTTGTAGTGATGGAGTGGCAACTGGGGCTCTAGCTTGCGTCAGTGAGTAATTCATTTCAGAATATGTCCAAATAAAAACATATAAAACACGTCAGTAAGCCACGGCGTTAGAGGGCGAGGAACGGCGACACAGATAAAGTTAAACAAGCCAGCAGAGAGGGTGATGGGAAACCAGGACCGTGGATTAGAAACGATAAAGAAACGATAAAGAGAAAGACAGACGGGGGAGATAAGGAGAGAGAGAGAGAGAGGAATCATCACACGATTGGCCACCGCTGTGCCACGTCTGCTCATGATGGGCCGTCCAGGCACTGGGGTCTGATTCGGTTTAAAATGAGCTGGTGGAGGGGGTTGTTAACCTCTTCCCAATGTAGACCCTAAAAAAAGACATAGTATTTGTATAATATAATATTAATAAAGTAAATATTTAACACGCACAAACTAATGTTTGGTGAGATTCCTGCTCAACAGGGGTCTCATTTATAAAATTGTGCATTACTAAGTGTACGTGCGCCCAAAAACCAAAAATGTCGTACGTTAAAAAAAATATTTAGACTCATACGCAAGAACCTGCGCAGAATTCACTTTATAAATCCCAGTCAGTGTAAGATTGTGCGCACATGCGTCTCCTCCCCGAAATAACCATATATGGAGCTTACAGCGCCTAGTTTAAATATGCATATGCATCATTTGCATATGATTATTCATTCACTGTACCAGACATTAGGAATATGATTTATTCATTTCATGAATAAAAATAATTTAGTAGCCTATCCTTGCCTTGTTTTTGAACGAATAAACCAAATAGAGTGCCGAAGTTACGACGTCACTCTGTAGGCCAAAATGCGGAAGTGAGTTAGCATTTTAGCACAATTTTTGAATGGGTTTTTACTAAATCGCCTGAAATAAAGTCTGTGGTGAACAAAGTCTCTAAATATTTTCACATTTTGATCTATGACATAGAACACATAGTGTTTTTTTAAAAACTTTATTGTGTCTTTTTGTGTTTTTTAAAAACTTTATATAGGCTTAAAAATGTATACATTTTGGATTAACTTGTAAATATTATCTTGATAGACAAAACGTGTAAGGGTCACAACTCTTTGTTAAACACAGATCTTATTTTTTGCGATTTAGCAAAAGCCTATGGGGAAAATGCATTGCTTTTCGATCGAGGGAACCCATGCGCTGCTTGCTTCCGAGTTGTCCTACAAAGTGACGTCATCACTTTGGCACTCTATAGTGTAAAATACATTTCAGGGAAAGTTTTTCTGGTCCCACTTTATATTAAGTGGCTTTAAGTACTATGTACTTACATTTCAAAATAAGTACAATGTACTTATTGTGCTCATGTTGTATTGTAAATCACTTTTGGTGCTATTGAGGTGGGATACGGGTAAGGTTAGGGACAGGTGTGGTGGTATGGGTAGGTTTAATTGTAAAGGATGGGTCAGCTGTGTAACTACAGATGTAATTACATAAATTAATTACGGCTGTAACTACATGCTGGTATTTTTTAAATATAAGTACAATGTAAAAACATCTATGTACACAATAAGTCCATTGTATCAAATTATTAATTTCAATGCAAGTACATGGTACTTAAAGCCACTTAATATAAAGTGGGACCGTTTTTCTCAATCTTTTCCACTGGCCAAATAGTATTTTAATTGATTTATATTTTTAAATGCAAGCAGATAGACCTTGTTGTGCATTATTTGCACAAAACCATTTTCTCTGACAATCTGCTGACAATATTTATATGTTGCTTTGAAGTGACTGTGATCCACACAGGTCGAGCTGGTACAGTATATGGTGTGTGTGTGTGTGTTGGCACTCACCCCAGTCCCAGAGCCAGGATGTGGGTGAGCAGCAGCGAGGGCATGAACATTTTGAGGAACTCAGCGGAGAACACGCCTCCTTTCTTCATAGCACCCGTCTTTCTCATGCTCAGAGACACCGATCCAGAGCGCTTCGGGTGGCGGAAGTGAAATTCCCTGTGAGCGGTCAGAGAGAACCATTATACTAATATCTCACTTAAACTGCAGAACACTTTTGTTGGTACCTTACTGAGGGCTAATGAAATAAAAAAAATAAAAAATAAAATATATATTTTTTAAAAATAAAAAAACAAAAAACAAACATATTCATAAAATATTCTAAGTATATTGGGTTTGTTTAGAAATGAATACATTTTCCATGTGCCAGTTTGTCACATGTGACCACACACACATAATGGTTTAATATGGGTTCATACTTCGGGGGAATGTTCTCTGGTCGACTGGACCAGTCTGCCACCCAACTCTCCCCTTTATCCATGAGGATATCATCCTCTTTGTCCCTCTCCAGACTATCATCATCTGACTGAAAGAGATGAGAAAACAGCACTCATTAAGGTGTGCTCAATAAATAACAGTACTATCACGCTAGATAACTGTACATTACAGAGTACCTGACAGTCTCTTTCGCTGGGCATCTCCACATCAAACATGATCTGCCCCTCATCCTGGTCAGGACTGTGTGGTCGAGGTGGGCTGTAAACACAGATAAATACAGATCAGAGAAAAACCAAATCAGACGCCTGAATCACGTGTGGGGTGAATTACACTGTATTTGAAAGCTGCAGATCTAAGAAAAAAAAAAAGTGAAGCGAAACAACGAGCAAGATCCGCTGCTCGTGTGTGTGCAGTCTGGTACAAAACACGTAACATTACGATTATAACGCAAGACTATAGAAACAATGACAGACATTAGCCTCAATAAAGCTAGCTTCATTCATTGAGAGAAAATGTGCGCCTTTGGGGTTTGTAGTCTTTGTAATTACGTATTTTCACAATCAAACTGCGACTTTCTTTACTTTAAAATGTATCTTTTAAATTGACAAACATTATATGTGCAATTCAGGGCACAATTCAAACGAGATCAAAATATTTGTTGTCTCTCGCCATTGACTACCATACAATATTTTTCCGAAATAAGGTCCAATGGTGGCCGACCGGAAAGGGAGGGACTTAAGCCCCGTTCACACCGCCAGCGACACGCAGCGACAAAGCGACAAGATCCCATTCATTTCAATGGAGCGCTGGCGACATCCGGCGACACGAGCGACAGTGACCGTTGGCGACAGAATGTGGGCGTGTCAAGCGACAAGAGACAAAAGTTGAGAATTTTTAACTTTATGCAAATGAGAAGCGATTTTCGCGAGCGACAACCAATATGAAAGAAGACTTTCAGTGGAGCTGCAGCTCACGTTACCGTCTCGAGTGCAGTGCAGGCAAGACAGAAAGAAAGAGTTTGAGGACGATTTCACTGTTTTATATGATTTGACTGTAACATACATGGATAATAAAATGATGCATGGAAAAGAAACTGTCGACAGTGAGTTTGATTCATACATTTAACGTTATAGTTCGAGTGTTGTAATTATATGATGCACGTTAGCACTTCTGCAGTTCATTTTACAAATTTCTTTTTACAAAGAAAATTTATTATTTGTCAAATTTGAATGACGTTTTTATAATTTGTGACAGTACGAGTGAGTTTAATTTGTTCATTGATCGATCGTTGATCTAAATGATTTAATCCACTGAACACAGCTGTGGAGATATAAAAACACTCTCCCAACAGCATATGGTTTCTTTTTAGCCTTAAAAGTCATTTATTCCCAGTCAAATTAAAATTATATATCACTTGTGATGGTCTTTTGTATAGATATGGCCAGACGTGCAGTCTACCAATAACACAAGAGCGACAGCACTACGAACGCCCACAAGCGACATCACAGTACAGAGCCTAGCGACACACAGCGACAAAATCGCTGGCGGTGTGAACGGGGCTTTAGGCTCTCTATAATAACCCTGGTTTGGGTGTAGACCACTCATTTTTGGCCAATCAGAAACATTCTCTTCCTGTCAATCATTTTGAGTGCTTGAGTAGAGCAAACCGGTCATACCTATTGCAGGATGAACTGCTGGGGCTGGACTCGTGTTGGGCATCCAGCAGGATTTTCTCCATGTCTCCGTTGTGGATGGAGGAGGAGGAAGGCACATGCTCCAGTCCTCCTGTTAGGACCTCCTCTTCCTCCTGCACGGCCTCCAGGGCCTGTGAAGCCTGGGACTCGCCTTGGTTGCCATTCCCCAGCAGAAGCAACGAGGGCAAGCTGGCGTTCTGCTGCTGAGTGTTTCCGTTCATCTCCAGCTCCACCCAGGACCCTAAAAAGACAAAACAGTCATTAGCATCAGCTCCTGCATTTTAAATGGGATTTCTTTTTATTAAATCCAGTGAAATAATTTAGTCTTTCATGAGAGTTTCTAACCCTTAGTGTACGTGTCCGCTGGTGTGGAGCTGAGCGGGCGTTTTCAATTCATTCTCTAGGCAGACTCATTCAGGGGATTGTGGGATTGACATCAGGACAGAGTACGCTATGAGAGAATGCCTGCATTTTAAGCAAATGGGAGCCAAAAACACAGACATTTTGCTCAAAAGTGAACACGAGACTGCCTTCTCTGTTGACCTGGTGCAAACATGAGACACGTATGCTAACCTCACTGTTGCTAGGCAACACAAAGATCCACAGACGGGTCCCATGATGCTTTAATAACATGATGGAGTGATGGGATGTTGCTAGGCATTGTTTTGTGGCTGCTATTGTTTTCAAGTTTCGGCTGTTGCTCCAAACAAAATAGGTGTTTAAGTAAATTCGATTAAAGGGATAGTTCACCAAAAAAAAAAAATATATATATATAAAATAAAAATTCTGTCATTAATTACTTGGCCTCATGTTGTTCCAAACTTTCGTTCATCTACGGAACACAAATTAAAATGTTTTTAATGAAATCTGAGAGATTTTGAAAGGACACGAGTGCTTTGTTTGCGTAAAAAACATAATTTACCACTTTATTTACAAAATGTATTTACATTATGATGTTTTTACTATGTTTCTGGGCCTTGAAACGGGTAGCTGCGTAGACTGTCAATGGAGGGACTCCATTTTTTATAATGCTAGTTGAAAGTGTCATTACATACTGATAGCAATCACTAAGTTAAAGGGATACTCCACCGTTTTTTCATATTAAACTATGTTATTCTGTTGACACAAACCTCTCTCGTCTCAATCGCTCTGGCGCGCGAGACACTTTGATAGCACTTAGCTTAACCCAATTCATTCATTAGGATCCAAGCAGAGAAGCGACCAAACACCTCCACGTTTTCCCTATTTAAATACAGTTACACGAGTAGTGTAACTCGGTGTTTGGTCGCTTCTCTGCTTGGATCCTATTTAAAGAATTGGGCTAAGCTAGGTGCTATCAAAGTGTCTCGCGCTCCAGAGCGATTGTTTACACGCACTGATCAATATCAACGTCGATATAAATCTGCAGTAGTCAGGTGGTACAGGTCAGTGCTCTTTAAGTTGTTTGTTTATTATTATTGTAATGTTATGTGCTTTGAGACACGGTGACGCTTTGCAAACTCTGCTGTGCGCGTTCATGTTTTTGAAGGAGGCGTGGCTTATGCTTTCAAAGCTACTGCCAGACTCTCTGAAAATTGCCTGATGCCTACCCCTACCTTTAAAAAGGTCTTAATTTGTGTTTTTAAATTGATCGAAAAAGTCTTACGGGTTTGAAACAACATGAGGGTGAGTATAGGGTTGGGTATCGAGAATCGAGTATCGATTGGAACCGAGACTAACTTTTCGTTTTTCCCGGAATCGTTCAAAAGTTAAAATTTCGATTCCTAGTTTCGATATTCACAGTCCACCGAGTGGAAGAAGAAACCGCGGAACAACACCAACGAAGAAGCGTCTACCGGAAGTGTTGGCATAACCGCGCGAGTCGAACATGAGTACCTTACGTCGGCGATCCAAAGTGTGGCTTCACTTTTCTAAAAATAACGAAATCTCGGCAAAATGCAAAATTTGTGACAAAAGGAGTATTTTTACAGAAGGAGTATTTCCTTCAGAAAGGCCGTTGGTTAGCAAGGTTAGCTAAAATTTTTTGACCCTGCCTCTTAAAAGAATCGGAATCGAGAATCGTTAGGAACCGGAATCGAAACAAGGAATCGGAATCAGAATCGTTCAAATTCAAACGATACCCAACCCTAGGTGAGTACTGGTAATTAATGACAGAATGTTCATTTTAGGTGAACCAACCCTTTAATTTAATCATGATCACAACTAACCTTTTAAAACACCAAGGGAAATAATAAACAACATTGCAGCACTAATAAGCCAGCATCCTGTTTAAATGAGCATCATCTTAATATGGCAAAATCCTTCACTAGAGGCCAGCCCACAACAATTAACTCTCCTATTTGCCCACAGTTATGGGCACGTTGCCATGGCAGACTATTTTCCACCAGCTCTTGTTGTCACACTGCATCACAACAAACATCTTGCATTTAACAAGGGACCCAAAGCACATCTGGTACCACATAGTAACCACCAGAACAACTGCATAGCAACACCTTGACAACATGCTGACGAGTTCTGCATGGGCGAGCTCCACTCACATTCTAAGAAAACATCAAAACCCCACATCCTAGGCCAAAAAGTGATGAATGACTGACTATCGATGTGGTAAAATATTCAAATGAATGCACAAATATTATAAACACACCAGCTCTAGTTGCACTGATCCTGGAGCAGCTCTGATGGAATTCACTGCAGGACAGGAGCGGGAGGGATTATGTAATCTCTGGCACATCAAACCACTCGCTGCTTTTCCTCTCCCATCCCCCCGCTGTGTCTGTAACCCAGATCTGTCTGTGTGCCACAGACGCCGAGAAACCTACTATTCACCACCACTAAATGATAACTTGTAAACAGAATGACTCATTTTAATGAGTTTGCACCATCTGAAAGCTCTCTAAGAAGCTATGCATCTCAAAAGCTATTGAGTTTCCCATCTAGACAGCATTTTTAGGCATCATACATGCTGTCTAGATAGGTAGGCAAAAGACAGAATAATTTTACCCGAGTGCAACAGAATATTCAAGAAGAATGATTGTAAGATGGGACTTGATTTTATCCACCAGGAATTGATTGGATGATGAAAAGTAAGATTTGATATGAGGGGCTGAAAATATAAGAGGGCTTGATGAGATCAGCTAAAAAGGAAAATCTGAAAAGATAACAGATTTTTTTTCGTCTTTAGAATAACGTGCATTAGTGAATTTTGCACGACAAGAGAATGAAGGTGTATTAAGAAAAAAAAAGCATCTGCGTTATATTCAAATCTACAACGCTTTTGCAAGAATTAAGAGTAACTATATGCACTCCAAACCATGTATTGTTATGCACAAATAAACAAAATAAACAAAATAAGGAAATATGGCTTGCACTTCACTTCGTATGTGCAAGTGCAACCAAAGGAATTGTTCAGAGGTACAGAATGAATGTGAAAAATGAAGAAAACGTGCTGAGGTCACAGACCACTTTGAATACACCAAGATGAAAAAAGAGGGGGGGAAATAACACAGGGAAATGTCTCAATATAGACTGCCGTTTCAGGACAGGGCGGGCATAGACAACATTAACTAAATAATTTTAAATTAACCTTTGTGTTCACTTAATTGTGCAATTCTGATAAAAGAAACCAACTACTGAATATAATTTATTCAAAATGTAATAAAACCCATATTATGGGGTATGCTTAACTGAAATAACCCAGGCAGTTTCTACTAAAACTAAAACAGAATGGAGCAGACAATGAACAGTAAAATATTAAGGCCATAACCAGTTAAATTAAGCCGAAATATTGTTAAGCTCTCCTAGTTTCATTAGTTATTTACACGCCCCCGCCTCCATTTTTGTCAGAACCCCTCTTCGCAATCGCATTGTTTTGATACCAACGTAGCCCCGCCTCCACGCCGCTCGAACTTAAAATCAAACTAACGGTTGGCTAACATTCCGTCAATCATTAATAGTTGCCAGGCAACGCCACGTCATTCACTCTCATTCGCGTTGACGCCGTTCAATCTCCCGCCCTTTAACCCCTCCCCTAAGAGAAAGGAGGAAATTCCAGCCATTGAGCGAAGTGAGACAATAGATGTTGCATAACAGCGTTTTAAAGCTCCATAGAAAAATAAAACGTGCACATACAACAGATTTAAAGCGACATTGGGATCCCTCCCGACGTTTCCCTGCAGAAACATGGACGGGGTTTTACCGTTGAGTCCCTGTTCTTCATTGTTGTTGAGCTGCGCGGCGGCTGTGGTGGACATGTTGCCTCTCCAGTCACTCGCGTCCCCTGCTCGTGAACGCGCGCGTGCTCATTCATCTGCGGCCCCTGAATGGCTCCACGTGAACGCAGGTGCGACGTCACACATTCGGAATATTAATTTCAAATAAATTAAAAATGCACAAAACATAAGTCAAATTTTAAAATTTGACTTATGTTTTGTGCATTTTTAATTTATTTAGTAGATGTAGACATACAGAACGATAAAAATAAAAGATACACACATAATAATACAGACAGACATAGATACAAATATATTGATGGATACATACATATATAGTTAGATATAGATAGAAACAGACATGACAGATTATACACACACACACACACACACAGACAGACTGACAAAGATAGAAAGACACATAGACAGACAGATAGAGATAGATGTACAATGCTGTCTGATATAAACATGCTGAAATCCTGAAAATAACGTTATTTGCTTTCAATGACAGTCTATGCTTGTATTTGCATATTAAGGATGTCGCCCCGAAATTGAAAGACAACATAGAGCGTCTGCAATAACGACAACCTAAAAACCCGCTAGTACGGTTCACAGATCACCAAAACCTAAAATAGCTCTGGCACAGATTCATTTCTGGATGTCCCATTTGTTCCTGCTAACCTAAATATGGGGCAGATGTTTAAAGAGAAGTGATTCTACTCTGTGTAATGTTCTCTTACCTGCTTTTATAATAAAATCACCCTTTTAATGAATGCTCCTTTCCTGGAAAAATGACCCCAAGAAGTTTAGTTTTTCAGTCTTAAAATTAAGTTTTATTTTTACATTTGGGATTTTACAACTATTAAGATAAAGGGAACATAATTCTGGGTTTGTTCATATACAGCAGGCCTGATTTCCATGTAAACGCACTCCATTATACAGAATCATTCTGCACCAATCAATCAACAGCTCAAGACAGTCACGCGACTGCATTAATACACTGAATACTGTCAACGACATGATTTCGATTTTCCAAAATTTATATAAAAATATCTAGAGCATTCTTTACCTCATAGGAACCATTCTGTATTAAAAAGCCGCAAATAAAACGACACACACCATAAGATGCCGAAAATCAGAAGAGATTATAAAACATGCACATCTGCACAAACAATTACTTAAGACTTCAAATATTTGTGTGTCCCTATTAAAAGAGATAAAAAGTCACCCTTCCCACAAAGACTAATATATTGCATAAAATTAATGCCACAATTAGTTGTACTTAATGTAGGGAATAATGTAGCTATTCAGGAACCCTGCAACTTCAAGTCAATTGCACTTGTGGATAAATGTCAGGCATTAGACTGAGCGTTAAGTGAAGGAAACGTCCTGTTGCGCCAGGCCAGAAGGGAGCGATCAGAGCATGAGGTTTCGTACAAC